ATCTTCCGTTCATTTATGAGTAAGTTGACTCGTAAGCAAGGCCTAGGTGGCGCTAACGACAAGCAAAATCTTGGTCTGACCTTGACTATTTGAGTGAGACCCCCATGATGACAGTTGTGCGTTTATATAGTTTACTCAAACCATGAGCGCGCTGTTATCGCGCCTCTCAGCTGATCTCAGCTGATCGAAGAAGTTATTTTCACATTTGCCAGGTCTACCGTTTTTACGGTGGGTCTCCCGTTTTCTTGAGAACTACTGCTCTACCGCTAAGCCATCAGAACCTACTGCTAAACGTTACGTTAAACACTTTAAATATAACTATTATATATTACACTATTTGTCAACAAATCAGCTACATTGCACTGCGATTGGCGATTGGATTACATGTTTTTTTTTTCGTTTTTCGTTTCCTAAAGCGCGCCTCGGAGCTACGCTAACACCTTCTTGGCTGAAGACCACTTAAAAAGTTCGAAACGTTCAAATTTACAAACATTCAATTATTTCCCGTTTTGTTTTTAAATCTATTCTATAACTGTCTATCTAATCTATGTTTCTTATGTCTATTCTACTGCTTTCGTAGTACTTGACCTGGCAACACTGGTCATGTTGTGAAAATTTTAACCATATTTTTCCAATAACAAAACAAAATGGTTACTAAGTGATTCTAATTTGCTTCACAGGAATTCACAATGCACAGATGTTTCGTCGGCTTTTATATTTGGTGCTTTTTACAACCTTGTCTGTTTCATGATCGGTTTTCCAACAGCGGTAAGAAATATTTCTTCGATCGATCATATTTGAAGGTCATACTCCGGAGTCATAGATAAAGACAAGCCCGGAGTATAGATTATGAGTGAAGTATTTTAGTGCTTATTTTAACAAATATCTTAAATGGAACATATGTGTGGATGTTATTGTTAATTAGGCAAAAAGGCACTTTATATTTTAAGGTCAGTATGAAGGATTTAGTGGGTGTCAAATGCAGCCACCCTTCTGATTATATTTCAGGTTTTAGATGCATCTCATTTAGATTTCAAAGCAGCCCTCTTGAAACCAGTTAACCAAAAAACGCTCAACCAATAAGCTGAATATAGTTTAATGCGGAGGCCTTTATATTTGTCTGCTTTACACGAGATCCACCCCTAGAGCAGCATTCTTGGCTGCGGCTACTACCTATGGTGGAGTTGGAGCAGAAAAGGAAAGTTGCAGCTGTAAAAACTAAATCTTTATCTATGGATATTAAAATTTGAAGATGAAAATCCGGTTTGCTGAAATGTTCTTTGTTACACGTATGTACCGATGCTCTTATTTATATGAGCATCTAATTTATTTAAAGATAAATAGGTAGCACCTTTTAAGAAACGTTATCGTTAACTGATGATCATGTTGTCATCATCAATTGTAATTGTAATTGAACTGCTATAAAGATGTTCAGCCGATTATTGATACCTTGCTTTATAACGATGACAAATGTCCGCCAAA